AACCTGGGATAGAGGAAGGTGTCCCCATGGCAGGGAGTGGAACAGGATGATCTTTAAGGTCCCTTCCAACCTAAACCATTCCAGGATTCCATGTGCTGGCTTAGACAGGATATTAGGAGGGGGGATATTAGGATATTCCCTGTGAGGGTGGAGAGGCCCTGGCACAGGGCCATGGATCCCCCATCCCTGAAAGTGTCCAAGGCCAGGCTGGACAGGGCTTGGAGCGACCTGGTCTTGTGGAAGGTGTCCTTGCCCATGGCAGGGAGTTGGAACTGGATGATCTTTAAGGTCCCTTCCAACCCAAGCCATTCCAGGATTCCATGAGTGTGATGGGTGGTTTTTGGCACAGTTTCCCACGGCAGCCTCGTGGACTGGACTGTCCATCCAGTGTGGACTGGATGGATGAACTACATGGTGAGTGAAAAACTGGCTGACACTGGTGCTGGTCCTGTTTGAGATCTTCATTAATACCCTGGATAATGGGGTGGACTTGGCAAATCTACAGGTGGCACCAACTTGGGGTGAGGGGCTGAAACTGCTGGAGAAACGGTCCTGTGGCTGGGATGGACTGGGATGGACTGGGATGGACTGGGAGGGCTGGGCTGGACTAACTGGGCTGGGAGGGCTGGGGTGGCAAGTGAAAAGCAGTTTGGAAGATAAGATGGACCAAAGCTGACCTGGAAATGCTGGTCAGGGCTAAACTCAGTCTGTGGGCTCTGAGTCAGTGCACTGGGCCAGTGCCTGGGAACTGGGAAGAAAACAGCTAATAAAATAAGGGATCTCCTAAGTTAGATTTCATATATAAGTGGTGTTTTGTTTGGGTAAAATTAGACATGAGAAAAATAAATTGTTGTGGTGAAGAAAAAAAAGAAGAAACTCCTCTTTCCCTTTCCAGTTTTCCTTGGGGGTTCTGCGAGTACACGCTTGAGCAACACACAGAAGCAACATTAGATATTTTAATGCACCTTGTGGGAGGCTTTTCTGGCAAAGTGAGAGAGAAAAAGCAGGTTTGCAGCGCCTGTGAGAGCCGGGGAGCTGCGGGGGAAGAGCCGGGGCTGCACCTTCCCGCGGGAGTGAAAAGGCATCCCTGGCACGCACAGCCACACCTCACGTGCCGGGCCACGCGCTCATTAAGCTGATTAGCATTTAAATGAGGGTGTTGTGCCCGAGCAGGGCTCTCTGGGTGAGGAAGGTGCTGGAACGCTCGCGGAGCTGACTGTTTGTACCTCCATGTGCACCGCAGAGGATCCATCCCGCGGTCCTGTGGTGGTGACCACGGCGGGGAGGATTTTCCTGGTGAAACCCCTTCGGCCAGAGCTGAAACCCTCAGGTGTGAACCCTAATTTTGACTTGAAGTTTCCTCGTGAGAATTTTAATGGCTTTTAACATCTTGTTGTAACGTGGGTGATGTTTTGGGGGGGTTAAAAAAAAAAAGGAACCAAGTATCTGCTAATTTGTTTTCAGCTTTATTCTCTAATACACAGGGAGAAAATAAATGTGCAGGAGTCCCTGATGCTCCTGCAGTCACAGTGGTTACTTTTTTCCCAGTAAAGTCCTGTTGCTGTTTTCAAACATCTTTGAAATCAGAGTCCACTGAACCCATGGGAGAAGGTGAATCCGTGGCAGGATGTTCCTCCATCTCCAGGTTGCTCAGACGAGGGAAGAAACAGCTTCTCTTCCCCAAGGAAGACCAAAGCCCGGCAGGGGAAGGCACTGGGAATTTAAAGTGTCAGTGCTGGGGCCGAGCAGGGGGTTGGGACCCCAAATCTGATGTGCAAAGAGCAGCAATGAACCTTCAGCCACGGGAGCATCATTTGGGCAAGGAGTGGAACCCCCCCAGCACTGACTGGGGACACGCTGGGGAGGGGTCCCAGATGCTGGGGAAGGGTCCCAGACCCTGGGGAGGGGTCTCAGACCTCAGTGAGGGGTCCCAGCACCTCGCTGTCCCCGTGCTCAGCACTTCTGCACACAGGGTGGCAAGAGAGTGACCTGCTTTTGCTGGTGGTGGCAGGGGCGTGGTGGCAGGGGGATGGGGGCCGGGCAGCAGCGCTGGAGGGGTGGGTGGCACCTCTGGAGGGGTGGGTGGCACCTCTGGACAGGTGGGTGGCACCTCTGGATGGGTGGGGGGCAACATGGGCCGCAGGGGCGGCGATGGGGCAGGGGCAGGGGCTGCAGGACCACGGGGGGACTGTCATCCTCGGGGGGACACTGCTCCACCCTCCTCCTGGGCTTGCCGCAGGACTCCTGGTCCTGGCAGGGCGGGGAGGGCCGGTACTGCTGCAGGGGCCGGCGGTGGATCCTGGCGGGCGGGGGGCACGCGGGGGGCGCGTGGTTCACCTCCACCCGCCGGCGGGGCTGGCAGCTCTGCTGGGGTGGGCACGGCTCGGGGGGCTGGCAGCCCTGGGGAGCGCTCTGGCAGGACCCATCGAGGTCGTGGCTGAGGCTCCCGGGGCTTTTGTGGCAGCTCCCGCTGGATCTGGGCCATGTCCAGCCCTTCCCGGCACAGCCCGAGCTGTCGTGGCACAAGTCCTGGTCGCTGAGGCCCTTCTGGTGCTGCATCCTGGGGCAGAGATCACGGAATCATTCCCAGAATCCTTGAGGTTGGAAAAGCCCTCCAAGGTCACCGAGTCCCCCCTGTGCCCATCCCCACCTTGTCCCCAGCCCAGAGCACTCAGTGCCACAGCCAGGCCTTCCCTGGGCACCTCCAGGGCTGGGCACTCCAAACCTCCCTGGGCAGCCCCTGCCAAGGCCTGAACACCCTTTCCAGGAGGAAATTCCTCCTCATGGCCAACCTGACCCTCCCCTGGCACAACTTGAGGCCGTTTCCCCTCCTCCTGTCCCTTGTTCCCTGGGAGCAGAGCCTGACCCCCCCCCGGCTCCCCCCTCCTGTCAGGGACTTGCAGAGCCAGAAGGTCCCTCCTGAGCCTCCTTTTCTCCAGGCTGAGCCCCCCCAGCTCCCTCAGGAGTTCTCCTCAGGTGACTCACAAGCCATATGATCAAGCCCTCGGGAATAAACCGTCTGGGAAAAAGCAACCAAACCACAACTCCTTTTTTTTTTTGCTGTTTCTGTGAAAAAAATAGTGAGGAACCTGAGAGAGCTGAGAGAATCCAACTCACCCTGGGAGCGGGACGGACGGGCTGGGCAGGGAGTCGGAGTCCTGGGGACAGAGCTGGGGCTGAAAGCTTTTATATGTGGCCGAGGTCTCTTGGGAATGAGACATGCCCTGGGAATGAGGAGCCGAGCTCTGCCATGGCCGTGTGTGTGTTTTGTTCTGGCACTTGCTGTTGGATTAATCAGCCCCAATTAGCATCTCCCTCCGTGGAACGTCAGCTCAGCTTCTTTGCATGTGCAGTGGCCCATTATCTAATTAGTTCTCCCACTGGTCATGCTCAGATGAGCTGTTACCTCCTGTCAGTCAGATGGGATCCTGGGATAAGGATACCTGGAATACCGGGATGCTGAGTGATGTGCCCAAAAGGAGACTCTCGTGGCAGTGGGAAAACCACAGGAAGGCCCAGGAGTCCTTCCAGGGCACGGGGAGGGAATCCAGGGTGACATCAGGACCATGAGGAACAGCAGGTGTTGGTGCCCCGTGTGTGACTGGAAGACTTGAGCTCCAAACCCAGGATCCCTATGGACACCAGGAGCAGAGATGGACCAGGGCAGGCTGGGGATGGGATGTTTATTCCCTTATTTAAATGAATTCATTCCCTTCCAGGTCAGGAGCACCTCAGCCAGGTGAGTGACTATGGCAAGGAAAAGCCTTTTATGTGTGGAAAATCTGGAATGAGGGCAGCCAGAGGAGCAGTGACCTCATGGACCATTCCAGCATATCCACCTTTCTGACATTTTCCTTTGACCCATTTTCAGCACAGCTGCTCCGTTTTGCATTTCTGTGGACGGGTCGAGGCATTTTTAAGGACTGGGAAAACATCTCTCCCAGCAGCCCCCAGGGCAGGAGGCATTTCCATGCACTCCCTCCACGGTGGAGCCTCTCCAAGGGATGCTCAGACGTTTGTCCAGTGGAATTTGGGTCTGAATCACTGGGGAAAGCATGTGCAGAATTCAGGGGTGTGGTTTCAGGGCTGTGCTGGAGATAATTTATTCTGTAGCTGCGGGAACAGTGTCACTGCCTTGCAGGAAGCAGGGAAAGGTGGAAAAGAACTTGGTATCTGTCAAGGCCAATGAGGATTTTAGATTTAGAACTTGTTGCCAGTGTCCCAGGATTATGCTGGGCTTGGATTTAAAAGAGTGGCTTTGGAGTCACTTCCCTTCCTGAGGATTTCACAAATCACCAAGTGCAAATATTTAATTTCTTAATCTTGTCTCTTAAATTTTGCCATATTTGAATAGAATTCCAGATAAATTAGGTAATATTTCTGAATCCATCAGGCTGGATTTGTATCTGGGGCTCTGGGCAACCTGGTCTGGTGGGAAGTGTCCCCTCCCATGGCAGGGGGTGGAATGAGATGATCTTTAAAGTCCCTTCCAACCTAAACTGTTCTATGATTCTGTGATTCTGCCAATGACTCCCTCCCTCTGTGCAGACCACACTTCCTGGTCTATTTAATCTTATTGACAAGATATCAAACCTCTTAAAAGGTTTATCAAACCTTTTAAATCTCAGCAAATTCCCTGGAAAGAATTCCATTAGGAAAAAAGACCTTTAGCTCTGGCTTTAGGGCTGCACAGGTGCTTTGATTGCAAACTGTGTCTTCAAAGTCAAAGCAGGGGGAAGAGAATGGAACTGGGTGACCAAGGGGATGCTGAAATAACACTGATGAGTCCTGCTTTCCCTTGGATGAGAGGCTGACCCAAGAATTTCACCACTCCAGGGTGTTGTCATCAGCAGAATGACAAATAGTTGCAAAATTAATTACATTAAGAAATTAAACAAATGCTAAAAATGTCCCAGACCGGAGCTCTGGTTTAAAAGAGAAAGATAAACTAATAAATGAATAAACATAACCCAGGAGTTTGCAGGATCATAACTGACACATTTTATTATGATTCATGACTAATTAGAGGTTAAAGGGAGGAAAGGGAGAACTGAAGCATCCAACATCCCACACACCCAGAGAAGAGGAGCAGCGGGCCCAGGGCTCATGGAGGGAGGCAAAGGACAGGAGATCTACAGTGTCTAAGCAAAGCAGGGGTGGTGTCCAGGTCCATATCCACGTCTGGAAGCACAGGTGAGCCGGGAGGGCAGCGGGCAGGGCCGGGGGCTCAGTTGCCGCCGCAGCAGCCGCCGCAGCAGCCCCTGTTGTTGTTGCTGATGGTGTAGCAGCAGGACATGGGCATGCAGCAGGACTGCACGGGCATGCAGCAGGGGCTGCAGCACTGCATGGGGGAGCAGCACATCGGGGTCTTGCAGCACGAGGGGGTGCTGTAGCAGGTCATGGAGTAGCTTCCTCCTCCGCAGCAGCCACAGCCTCCGTTGGGCATCTTGTTGGTTGGAGAGTTGGCAAAGCTGGGAAGAATCACAGAATGTGCTGAGCTGGAAGGGACCCACAAGGACCACCCGGTCCAACCCTCAGCCCTGCACCGGCCCATCCCCAAGAGTCCCACCCTGTGCCCCAGAGGATCAGCCAAACCCTCCCTGAGCTCTGGCAGCCTTGGGGCTGTGCCCACTGCCCTGGGGAGCCTGGGCAGTGCCCAACCAGACTCTGGGGGAAGAACCTTTCCCTGAGATCCAACCTGACCCTGCCCTGGCACAGCTCCAGCCATTCCCTGGGTTCTGTCCCTGGTCCCCCCAGAGCAGAGCTCAGGGCCTGCCCCTCCTCTGCCCTGCCCAGGAAGGTGGAACTGCAGAGTTTGGGTTTTTTCTCTGCCTGAATCTCCTGGTTCTTTAGACAGCTTAAAGCTGCCTTATCCCAAAGTCCATCCCAAAGTCCCTGGTGTCCAGGATCCCAGGACAGCCTGTCCCTGGGATCTCCATGTTTTTGGTTTGGACACCTGTGCACTTGGAATATTGTCCAGCACTGGTTCCATCAGAGGGAAACCACCCAGGCAAAGCTGAGAGGAGCAGAGACAGTCTGTGACTGGGAGCAGGAGGTTTGGAAATACAGAATTCATTCAAAGCTCTGGTTGTGCTCAACTTGGAGGTTTGAGGAGGTGAAACCAAGGGTTGTCTTGTTTTGTAAATCTTGGTTGTAACTCCTCTTTTTCCTCCAGTGTCAATCCCACCTCCTCATTCCTGGGCATCCCTAATTTCCCAGGAAGAGCAGCCCAGCACAGTGCACGCAGTCCTCAGGCTGGGCCCTCCTGGAATGTTCTCCAACCCCTTGCTCTGCCTGGCCCTGCTGATGCTCCTGGAGCCTCCTTTAACCTTTCCAGGCCCCGTAACTGCTCGTGCAGAGTTTATAGAAGCCCAGCTCCCAAACCCCATCCCAGATCCCCAGTTAGATCTGGATGCTGCTCTCAGATATCCAAGATTTCCTTTTGGGGAATGAAGGGAGATTCAGAAGTTCTCACTTACCCTGTTGAAGAGTGAGGAGAGGTGAAGGGAGGAGAAGATGAGCGAATGAAGCGAGCTGGGCCAGGAGACCTTTTATAGTCCTGAACACCTTCCTCCTGGAAGTGAGACAGCCATTGACCATCCCAGTTTCCCTGTTTACCAACCCAAACCCATATTTTTTAACCCTACGTGTCGCCTGGTATTTGCATTTTGCCCTATTACTTGTGATCACTACCTTTGTTGGGCCCCATAATTGTTTAGCCTGCAGATAATCAAAGGGCTTCTATGAATACTGATGAATTTGTCCTCCCCACAACCTTGCCAGGGAGCCAGAAAAATGCATCCTCATATCTGTTTGACAAAGGCAGGCAGTGAGGGCCGGGGATGTTCTGGGCCTTACTCAGCACCTGCCGCTGCTGAGTCAGTGCAAGGCCCGAAACTGAGCCCTGGCCTCGTGTCTCTGGGCCTCGTGATGGGTGGTTTCATCAGGCTGGTGTTTGAAACACGGGTTTGGGAAATGTCATGGAAATGGGGCTGTTTGTTCCTGTCACGGGGACGGGCACGTGAGGAGGGAGCGAGAAGTGACGGGGACGCATCGAGAGTCACCCGAGCTCGGGGCTCAGTCACCCGCACGAGAGTCCTGCAAGGCCATGGAATCAAGGCATGGTTTGGTCTGGAAGGGACCTTGAAGGTCATCTCATTTCTCCCCCTGCCATGGGCAGGGACACCTTCCACTAGTCCAGGTTGCTCCAACCTGGCCTTGGACACTCCCAGGGATGG